TTGTGTCATATTAAGCACTAGGTTTTATGGTTCTGTTGACGTTTTCTGGTTCATTTTCCATTTATTTGTAGGTTTCTGATATATGTTCAAATTGCGGTGTCAAATTTGGCGAATACTTCTGCAACATTTGCAAATTCTATGATGATGATGATGATGTAATGATATTCTTATTCTTTTTTTAGTAAAAATGGTGATCCAATATTATTGTAGCAATTATGTGTGTACATGGTTTCCAAGTGAAATTTTTGAATGATTGACCTTCATGATTTGCCTTGAAAATCTTCATGGTTTTTTTTTTCTTTGATCGATCATCTGTATAGGATTTGCCATGGAAGCCAGTACATTTATAGTTATAAATTAAAACAAGTTTTGACATATAAAGCTAACAACATTGTAAAGTTCAGTAAGACGTATTGAGATAGCGTCATACATTTTATAGGTAAACGTGTTTGTGATTTACAGTTAAAATATGTATGCAAATCTATTGTTCCCTACACTGTTCATGTGCCACACCTTTAATTCCTAATGTCTTAAGAATAGATTGAAATTAACCGATATGTGAATGTTTTGCTACCAATTGGTGCCATTCATAGGTAATGCAAATTTACGCTCTCAATAGTAGCTTTGTTCGATAATTTTCTCTCTTAATTTGCATTAAGGGTGTGTTTGATAGGGGATATTTTCCATGGAATGTTTGAGGGTACAAATTTTCTCTATAAAACTTTTTCCACAATTCCCTCACACATGTGCCAATTCCATGATTTGTAGGAATTGGGTTTCCCACTTTTTTGGTGGGAAAATGAATTCCATGTTGCTGTTTTTTTTTATTATATTTTTTGGAAATGGAAACAAATTTCATAATCAATTGTAAAAAAAAGAAAATTTCACTTTAATTGACAATTTTCATGTAAAATAAAGCTAAATGAATACTAAACTTTGATAAAAAAATGATTTTTTAGGAAAAAAACAAATTTTCGTTTTTTTTACTTTTTGGCAATGGAAACAAATTTTATAACCATTTGTTGAAAAAATTATCACTTTCATGGACAATTTTTATGTAAAATAAAGTCAAAGAAACATAAAATTTAAAAAATTCTCGGGTGGAAAATTATACCAATTAAACACACTTAATTTCCAATTCCCTAGAAAACAATTTCTAGGCAATTACTTTTCCTGAAATTCATTTTCTTTCCACCAATTTTCCACAATTGCAATCAAACGGACCCTAATAGTATTCATCTTCCTATAGAGTGAATGATTTTTTCCTCTGCATGCAGTTTTTTTTTCTGGCTAATGAAAGATTTGAGGCTATTTATCCAACTCTTAAAGAGGTTTCTCTTGCTAGTTCTCCTAGAAGCAAGGCAATGAAGCAAGTCTCCCAGCAAATACAGACTTTAGCTGTTAAAGCAGCTGGAGAAGGTTAGTTCAACATCAAAGTGACATTTTATCATCAATCATCTGTTTGGATATAATTTGTTTGCTCCTCTGGTGAGACTGTAGTCATATATAATCTGTGATGCAGTAATGTTTTATTTGAATAGGACAAGATTTATATGGATAATGTTCTGAGACTCCGGAAGAGAAGAAGGCTGCTGAAGAACGTGCTGCATCCGTAAAAGCATCTAGAAATAAGAAAGAGAATAGTTTGTGTGTTCCGTTTATGATCGAGTTTTTCCCTTACCATTTTATTTCATTTTGAAGTTTCTTTTTATTTAAGTGGTGTTGTATCCCATTCTAATGTTCAAATGTATGGATTAAAAAATTTGTAATGAAATTATCAATTTTTATACAATTTTAAAATTTGTTCATAAAGTTACATTTTCAATTTTGCCAATCTATTTGCATAAATTGTTGTTGTTAAAAAAAAAAAAAAAAACCTCGACCCTACGACAACGTTTGGCAAACGTTGCTGATATATTTACGACAACGTTTGGTAAACGTTGCGAAAGACTGTCTTTGGCAACATTTGTCAAATGTTGCCGTATCTCTACGACAACCTTTTTTAAACGTTGCCGTAGACTTTTGACAACGTTAAAAAAAAAAAAAATATATTGCCTTATCTCTCTACTCTACGACAACACCTCGATTTGTAAACGAACGTTGTCGTAGGTCTACGGCAATGTTAGACTGGTTTTGTTGTATTGCTATAAGTGTAAGTATTTTCATATTGTTCGAAGGAGGAAAATATACTCGAGAAACAACAGTTTTCTGAAAGTTTCACACATGTAGTAATCATAACAATTTCGACTAGTGGAGAGAAATGTATTCGTTCAATTCAATAAAGGCGCGTTTAGTTTGCTGTTTTTAAGTGATTTTAGTTTTTATTTTTGCAAAACACTTAAAACGTGTTTGGGCAACTATTTCTGAAAATGCATTTTCTAAAACGAGAATAAACTTATAACATAAAATTCAAAATGCATTTTTAACGTTTTGAACGTTTTTAATGAACATTATGAAAATACTCAAAACGTGGAAAACAAATGTTTAAACAAAGTTTTATGCAATAAAATTTTAAAAATTAAAAAATTTTAAAAATAAAAATAAAAAATAAAAAAAATTAAAATTCCAATAATTAAAAATAAAAATTTTGAAACATAAAATTATAAAAATTTCTAATTTTTTTTAAATATAATGAAAAATAAAAATAGTTGAAGCTCTTAATGATTATTTACATAAGAATTCTAAAAAATATTAAATAAACACTGATAAAACTATAGTCAATCCACATCATTATTTTTTATTTTTTATTTTTTATTCTTTGAACTAAATTTATTATTTATTTTTATTTTAATTTTGTAACTAGAAATAATATTTATAAGATTCACCAATTTTAAAATGTATATATTATTTGATAATATATTAACATAAAATTGTTCTGTTTTTATTCAATAGTCAAATTTCATGGAATAAAATATCACAAAATAAATTTTTAAAATTTCAAACCAAACGTGTTTTCAAGTTTTCTGTTTTAAGAAATAAATTTTCACAATGACAAACCAAACGTATTTCTAGCAATCTTAAAATAGATACTCAAAATAGAAAAGTGAAATAGAACTCAAAACTTAAAACTAAAACACAAATCAAATAGGCCCCAAACTTTCTTACCAGGTGTGCCTAAACAATGAAGTTGCAGCTTATCTAGTTTCTTGGAATTGAAGAATCATTTAAGCAAATAGAGCAATTCTGAGAGACTTTTTAAACATAAAAAACTCTATATTTTAAAAAATCGACGCTTAATATTATGCTCTAATAAACTATTTAAATTAACATTTTAATTTAGAGAATTAGTTTAACTCTCTAAATTTGAAAAGTCAAACTCACTCTCTATAATTAAATGTATCAAATGTATTTCAATTTTCAATGATGAAAAATAATATAATAACTTGGAAGGAAGCTAAAAAAAATATAAAGATAGAAAAAGATAATAAATATTTTTGGGAATAGTAAAATTAAGTGTTAAATATAAAGAGTCCATTGAAGTACTTAAAAATTTTTACTCTCTAAATTTATAGATACTCTCTAAATTATAGAATGTACTTTTTAAAATTAGAAAGTTTGTTGGAGATGCTCTTAAAACCTTAAAAGCCAAGATCCTATTTGATGAAACAACTAGGATTACAAATTAATAAATGTTTACCCGAAACAGAATAATTACATAAAATCTTCATTCCAAGCAATTTTCAAAATCATTGAAGGTAATTTTGGTTTTCTTTCATTGCTGTCCCTTCAATGTGTTTTTTTGGTGATTTAATATATGTTCTTTTTTATATTTTAACAGCTTTAAGGTAAGAAATTTAGTAGCAGATCTATGTTCTTTCATTTTTGTTTTTTCTACATCCTGTTTTCTTAAGGTAGGCATATGAATTTAGAATGATAGATTTTATTTGGTTTTATTCTTGTCTAATTACGTAAATTCTTGTGGTCGCTGAAATACCCCCAATTGCACGTGTAAAATGACGGGTACAAATCCAGCCTGATTATTGGGGTTTCAACGACAATAATAGTTGGTTGCGTAACCTCATAAGCACCAGCAACCACATTATGGTCGCTGGTATGCCTTTTCAGCAACCATATATTCTGGTTGCTGAAATGCTCCCAATTGCACGTCAAAAAAAGGCGGGGTACAAATCCTGCCCTGATTATTGCGACCGCATTATGATCCCTGATATGCCTTTTTCAGCAACCAATATATTCTGATCACTAAAATGCCCCCAATTGCACGCCAAAAAAAAGCAGGTATAAATCCCACCCTAATTATTAGCGACCAAAATCTATTTGGTCATTGATATTCAGAACTAGCCACCAAACTTTGGTCGCAATAAGGCATTATAAAATTGTTCAAATATTAACCTACCAAGAACAATATCAACCAAAAGTTGGTCGGTGGAAGTGTTTTACACCTACCAATATGATGTGGTCGTTGAAACTCTGGTTGCTTGAGCTCAATTTTTTTGTAATGGTGGATGAAAATAGTGACTCCCTATTATTTTTTCTACATTATTTGAGGAGTTTGGATGAGTGAGATTATATATAATTGTAATAATTTTTCATATAGTGAAAGTCTTGCTAGTTCATAAATTTTGCATTTTATATATTTCTGTCTTGTAAATTTTTGATGTTTCACTCTATGGGGGCAAATATGCACTCTAATAGGAACTTGTAGTAGGACATTTTTGTAATTTTATCATAAAGAGTAGGAGAGATCAGTGCTAAAATCAAATGTAAGTTGATCGAGTAACCAATTTAAAAAAAAAAAAAAAGTTGAGTGACAACTTGAAATTTTAGAGTAGTAATGTCATGACCACTAATATTTTTTCCCTCGTAGCCTCTATTAATCTCAGAAAAGCAATTGCATTTCGTTAACTAGATTTCGAGATGAAATTTGTAAATCATTCAACAAAATAAAATTTCACATAAATTCAAACAAAATGGTAATATTTATTTACAAGACGAATAAGAAAAAGAGATTGCTCCCCCTCCCCCCTCTTTCTCTCATAAATTTATTCATCGATAATTTTTTTTTCAAGTGATTTGGTATGGCCTTCTTTATAAGAAGAAGCATTAGGGTTGTAGCAAGTCGACACATTTAAAAAGTTTCTAACACCACTTGATCTGTGCATTGGAAATACTTTTATGAATCTTCTTCCTCTTCTTTTCTCCGTAACATGTACCTACCAAATAAAATCATCGAGTGTAAGAAGAAAATATTAGAATCAGTTAAGTATATTAAGTGAAAATAAAAGGGAAAAATAATTGCATCATTTGAGAATTTAAAGCTACTGTTGGTTCAATAATTTAACGGAAAGAAATGTGGAATAAAATTATAAATTATAAAACCATAAAATCCTACCACATTGGACAATTTAATTTTGTCCCCTGCACGGATCTCGATTTCCCTCTCGTCAGCATCTTCATTACCTGCAAGATAACATGCACCGAACGGTTTAAAATGGAATCTCAATATTCATATATCATGATCATAAAAAAAGAAATAAATCAAATGCGCAATTCAACCCATCTTAAAATTTAAATGAGTTGTAGTGTAGGTTTCAAGATTGATATTCTCGATCAAGTAATCATATTATTTGACATGTTAAAGAAAAAAATCAACATCAATCGATAACGTCAATTGAAATTGGAAACTACCCTTGAAACCATCTTCTGACTTGCAATCCACGCAATACTCCCGAAAACTTGGTGATCCAATCCAACCATTGACATCTGAAATTCTTTCACCCTCTCGTTCATCATCTTCTTCTTCCTCATCATTATGTATTCTCAACTTCTTTTCTATATTCCCCTTATAATTAATCTCCCTGTCTTTATCCTGTCCAACTAATTTCTTGTTCCCCACATTTCCATTAATAACCTCCTCTTCTTTTTCATGATTCTGGTTTTCCATTTCATCTCCATTTTTTACAAGGGAATGGATGGAACCGGGATATGTCTCTGGTAATTCATTGGATTTGCAGTTGAGGGGGGCATCTTCATCATGCAGGTGGAACCGCGAAATGCCACAACCCATTGGAGGAAATCATAAAATAGGAAGGGAGAGGTAAAAAATAATAAAAGAAAACGATCGAGAGGAGATGCATAGAAAAATGGGAAGAGAAAGTTTTCGAATGGAATATGTTACTTTGTAACGTCCAAAATATTGTGGTTAAAATGTAAAGGAGGAGTAAGATTCTTGGATCATATACTTCTTGCACCTATTTTATCTAATTCCAAGAATAGTTTATAGCTTAGGAGGGTATATGCATTTTTTGTGTATGCCTAGCTTAACCCTAAAGTTTTTTTATGTTAGGTCGTAGGGGGCCATGGCATGCATTGAGCACCCACGCGAGCCTTTATTAAAGAAAACTATATAATTTAAGAAAAAAAATTAAATTATATAGTTTCTGTTCACATCGATTTTCGGTTGTACAAAGTAGCCAACAAATTCAGCTCCACTAACATCCACTTTTCTTGCACACTTGTGTTGTAATTTATTGTTCAAGTTATAACGATAAGTGTATTGGAATGATAATACATTTATATGGGTGTGTCGAGCAAGTATAGAAACACCGAAAACAAAATGAGAAAAAAATGGAGGGACTGAAATTTTGGCATGGGAGGCCCAAACTTTGGCCTAGGCAAGAGCCTTATTTTGTACTGGGTGATCGCTGATTTTATTTATAAATAGGAGATAGATTTTATTCTAAAAATCAATCACCAACAATTGAAATCATTCTATATTGAAAAAGTTTTACCAAAGTCTCTTTACATATTCATCTTTGAGTGTTCTTCAAGTTCTAAGGAGAAAACACAAGTACTTAGTGTCTTTCTTCTTTTTCTAAGGCTTGTTAAATCTTACAAACCATTTATCTGAGTCCTTTTAAGTATCAAAATCTATCCTAGAGAGGGCAAAGTAAGTTTGAGGATAGCGATTACACGTTCAAGCCATTTTTCGTGTTGGTCTTTTTCTTTGGTTTCTCTTCTCCGTTCCTTTGTTAGGATCAAGTTTTTCCAACATTCTAAACAAAATTTTCGTTATGGAGAATGAGACTACCATGGTTACCATCAAACCTATGAATCAAGACCTTATTCATTTGAATCGATTTGACAGAACAAACTGAACTCGATGACAAGACAAGTTGAAGTTCTTTCTCATGGTGTTGAAGATTTTTTACATCTTTGATCCAGAATTGGAACTACTACTAGAACCAACAAATGGAGATAGCATGTCGTAAGAGCGAAAAGGCAAAATCGCCAAGAAGATGAATTGATTTTCTGGGATCATATATTCAACACACTACCCGACCGGCAGTATGGCCTCTATACCAACACATCATTGACAAAAGAAATTTGGGTGCGTTAGAGAACAAACACAAGGCCGAAGAAGATTGTCGCAAGAAATTCTTGATATCAAGGGATTTCGAATTTAATTTTCTTGAAAATATTCTTCTTCTCTCCCAAGTGCATGAATTACAAGTACTTGTCAACAAACTAAAGACGGTCAATATTGAACTTCCGAAAACTTTTCAAGTGAGAGCTGATAAGTGTGTTTTACACACTTATTTAGGTCACAAAACATGAAAAATTGTTGATGTATATGTTGAAATATGACTTAATTCGATATAATTTGTGTTTGTAAGATTACATTGATGGATGGAATGAAAAGTATGAGAAA